ACTACTTTTATCTTTCTCTCTAACGACCCTCCTTCTTCTTCTCTCTCCTCGTGTACACTTTCCATATTATGGGCTTCTTACCCAACTGAGAGATTATAGGTTCATGGGCTTCAGCGTCTGGATTCCCAGCAATACCGTCTTTTGGGACTGCAGCCTTGTCCTCGAGGCTGAATTCAGGAAATTGGCTCCGGAACACATCCTCATCCACCCAAGTAACATCATCAACGTTCTTCCCTCTCCATTTCACTAAACGCTGTCGGATCTACTGCCCAGCCACTGTGATGTCTCTTGCAGCTATCAATTTCTCCGATTCATCCAAAGTGTCCTCACAAACATCCAACCCCTTTGGTAGTGTGTTGGCTACATGATAATCTCCCACAGCCTTCTTTAATTGGGAGATATGAAATACTGGATGAACTTTCGTTGATGCTGGAAACTGAAGTTTATAGGACACTTCCTACCCTCGAAACAATGGGAAAAGGGCCATAATAGCGTGGGGCTAATTTTTGATTAATTCGTCTTGCCACAGTCTGCTGGCGATGAGGACGAAGCTTGAGAAATACCCACTCACCCACCTTGAATTCTTCATCTTTCCGTTTCTGATCAGCATACTTTTTCATCTGCTGCTGTGCACGTAATAAATGATGCTTAAGTTGAACTAGAGCTTCATCTCTATCAACTAAGTCAGCAGCCACTTGATCTACTCGTGTTTCCCCTTGCATATATCGGACTAGCAGCGGTGGTTTTCGTCCATATACTATCTGAAAAGGAGTGATCCCCGTAGAGCCATGAAATGTGGTATTGTACCACAATTCCTCCCATGCAACCCATTGAGACCAACCTTTAGGTTGTTCCGATGCAAAGCATCGTAAATAAGTTTCCAGACATCTATTCACTACTTCTGTCTGACCATCCGTTTCTGGATGATACGAAGAACTCATTTTTAACATTGTTCCTTGCAAACGAAAAAGTTCCTGCCAGAATAAACTAATAAACACTGGGTCACGATCACTTACAATCGATC